ATGCAGCTTCACTGCATGCTCAGCTCATGCCAGGGGGGCAGAGAGGGGCTCCTGGGAGAACCAGATGTTGCCTCGGGTGGGGGTCTTCCGGCTTCCACAGGGAGGTGAACAAACCTGCAGACGCAGGCACTTCAGAGGAGTCTGGGGTCACGCCGTGGGGACTCCCACCTGATGTCCCCACCAGGGCCTTGTCCCTGACTTAGTAGCCCGCTGTGACTCGGCCCTGGGCTTGTAGAGTGGAGAGCGGAGAGGCTGCACACACGCTGAGAGGGCCCCTGGCACTCACACCAGCGCTTACACCTGGGCTCATACTTCGGTTTGCGTCTGTGCCAGCACCTGGGCCCACACCTGTTCTCACGCCTAGCTTACACTTGGTTTCACACTTGTGCTTGCACCTGGGATCACACCTCGTTTTGCACCTGCGCTTGCACCTATACTCACATCTGGGCTCACACCTGGATTTGCAACTGGGTTCTCACCTGTGCCTGTACCTGAGCTCACACCTATGCTTGCACCAGTGCTCACACCTGTGCTCGTATTTGGGTTCACACCTGTGTCTGTACCTGGACCCATAGCTATCCTTACGCCTGTGCTCCTACCTGGTTTACACCTGGTTTCACACCTGTGTCCACGCCTGGGCTCATAACCTGGTTTTGCACCTATCTGCACCTGAGCTCATACCTGGTTTTGCACCTGCACTTGCACCTATACTCACACCTGTGCTCACATCTGGGCTTGTACCTGGTTCACACCTGGTTTCACACCTGTGCTTGCACCAGTGCTCACACCTGTGCTTACATCTGGTTTCACACCTGTGCTTGCATCTATGTTTATGCCTGTGCTTGTTCCTGGGCCCACAGTTGGGTTCACACCTGGGTTTGCATCTGTGCCTGCACCTGGGCTCACACCTATACTTGCACCAGTGCTCAACCTGTGCTCATATCTGGGTTCACACTGGTGCCTGCACCTGGGCCCACATCTATGCTCACATCTATGTTCACACTTGACTTACATCTGGTTTCACACTTGTGCCCGCACCTGGGCTCATACCTGGTTTTGCACCTGCACTTGCACCTATGCTCACACCTGTGCTTACGCCTGTACTTGCGCCTGCCTCACACCTGGTTTCACACCTGTACTTGCACCTGGACCCACAGCTGGCTTTCAAGCCTCTACTCTCCCTCCCTCCACCACTTGCACCCTTGATTGGCAGAAGCCACCTGCCCTATTCCCTCCACCCTTCAACTCACCACCAGTGATGGTTGCAATGGTGACCATGGAGGGATATGTCTCTGACCTCCAGGGGTGTCTTGTTGCGGCTGGACAGCGAGTGCCCACCTCCAGCACTCCCTCTTCTCACAGGTTGGGCCCCCCAAAGCCAACTGTGAGATGGAGTTTGGGATAGGAGCTGTGCGTTCGGGGTCAGCCCCTGTGACAGAAAGTGGGGAGTCGTGTTGCGTGAAGGGAGCCTTGGCCGGCCCATGGGGACAGTCAGTGTTCCGCCTGGGGCCCTGATGATCGCCCTGTACCTGCCTAGAGCAGGACCGGGGTCTCTTGGTGTCTTCTCACTGGGTCCAGTGGCAGTGGTGGTGACTGTGGGTCTCTTCTCCAGAGCGAAGTCACTCAGTTTCCTGCCCTGGGGAGGCAGGGGGGACTGGGCTGGGGGTGGGCATCTGGGGTCTCCCTGCTGCACACATGGTCTCTCATCCAACACTGGCTAGGGTTTTCAGTCTGTAAGTTCAGCCACTGTCCTTAGGCACTCATGACCCTGTCCATGGCAGCTGGGAGAGCATGTCACACACCCCACAGTGGCCAGGGTAGCCTGGGAGTGGTTGCGCAGACTGCCCTGGATCCAGGGGCACACTGCTCCTGGGCCCTCCTGGGGGGCCAAGCAGCCAACCATGCCTCTGTCGTGGTCTGGGATCTGCAGAGAAACAGAGAGCTGTGTATGTACAAACGCAGACGAGTGTACATATGGGTATATGTCTGGGTGTCCACATGCGTACGTCGCTCACTCGCGAGTGAGAGAGTTATTTTCAGGAACCGGTTCCATAACTGTGCCTGGAACCCCGGGAAGAGTCAGCATTTTACCTCCCTCCCCGGGGCTGAGAGGAGGCAGAATTCCCTCTTCCTCAGGGACCTCAGTGCTTCTCCAGAGACCTTCGACTGACTGCACGAGTCCCCACGTTCTGGAGGGTCATCTGCCTCAACTGCTGGTGCACATGCTAACCACAGCTAGAAAAACCTTCATGACTCCCGTGTTTGCTGCAGCACCATTCACGTAGTCAAGAAGTGGGAGCAGCGGATACTGTCCAGCCTTAAAAAGGAAGTGCATTCTCACTGGGCATAGTGGCTCATGTCTGTAATCCCAGCACTTTGGGAGGCTGATGTGGGAGGATTGCTTAAGTTCAGGGTTTGAGACAAGACTGGACAACATAGTGAGCCCTCTACAAAAGGCCAAAAAACTAGCTAGGCATGATGGTGCACGCCTGTAACTCCAGCTACTAGGGAGACTGAGGTGGAAGGATTGCCTGAGCCCAGGAGGTTGAGGCTGCGGTAAGCTGTGATTCTGCCACTACACTTCAGCCTGGACAACAGAGTGAGACCCCCAACTCAAAAAAAAAAAAAAAAAAAAAGCAAATTCTGTCAAATGTTACAACACAGTTAATCCTTGAGGATATTGCGCTAAATGAAATAATCCAGTCACAAAAGACAATCTGCATGATTCAGCGTATAGGAGTTATCCAAAGTGGTCAAACTCTTAGAAACAGAAAGGAGAATGGTCGTTGCCATAGGCTGGGGCAGAAGGAGACAGCAGCGGTTGAATGGGTGTAAGGCTCTGATCTGGGTGCTATGATTCTGGTGTGGGCACTGTGACTATGGCCTGTGCCCCTGATCCTGGCGTGGGTGCTGTGACCTTGTTGTGGGCGTGTGCCCCTGGTGTGGGCGCTGTGACTCTGGTCTAGGAGCTGTGACCGCTGCATCCTGTGTCCTGGGGAAGGTGTTCAGTGTGTCAACAGTCCCCCGCCCTGACCCGGGGGGACACCAAGGCCACAGAGCTGCCGGAGGGAGACCAGTGCCCCTGCTCTGCCCCAGTGCCCATGGAGCTGCTTCTTCACCTCCTGATGGGGATCAGAGGGAGACGCTGGGGCTTGAGGTGCCCCTGGGCTGCCAGCCTGGTGCCCACTGAAGCTGGTCTGCCCCCGTCAGCATAAATCTTGCGGCCTCAGCAGCTGGCCTGGACCTCCGTGGGAAGCAACCTGTGGCTTTGGGTTTTCTGGCAAGCAGAGAACTGGGCTGGCAGGGGATGCGAAGTGACCACCTGCTCAGACTCATCAGGTCAAGGAGCCAGTAGAGGCAGGTGTGTGTGATCTCAAGGGCGGTGCGCAGGGCTGCCAGGGCTGCCTGTAACCCCAAACCTCATGCCCTACCTGGGCGGGGCTTTGGTTAGACCCAGCTGGGAGGGGTGTGGGTCTGAGGTGGAGCATGCCATCTGGGCACCTCGTGCTGACTGGCCTGAGCGCGAGGCCCCTTGGGAGCCAGCTTTGCTGTTCTGAGAGGGCAGAAGGTCAGGTTTCCCCGAGAAACCCCAGAATAGCCCACAGCTGTGCCGGCCTCCCAGTGGGCAGCCCAGCCCCCAGGCCTGTCTGCCCACCTCACCCCCCCACTAGTATCCAGCTGTCTCCTCCTTGAACGGTGGACCCTCAGCCTTTCTGTGCGGGGTGTCTGGGGGTCCTTGGTGCATTCGTTCATTCAACCTGTCCTTAGAGTTTGTGACGCACTGGTACTGGGCCCACGCGGCTGGGAGGGCGACCAGGCTTGGGCCACTGGGTGCCAGTTGGTCTGGGCGCCTTCAACAAGAAATCTCACCAGAAAGTGGTAACAGTCTGGAATGAGGGTCCCATGCAGAACTGTAGGAGGGCTGCCCTCTGGGGAGGCAGGCTTGGAGATTGGCAGTGAAGAGGGAACAGCGAGGGGAACAGAATGTGTGAGACCCGGGCTACTGCTCGACCCTTCCTACCTCTGCTCCTGGCCCTCAGTGCCCATCTTCAGGGCGAGGGGGTGCCCAGGCCAGCCAGGCTGGGAGGGAGCCCTGAGGGGAAGGGCCGAGAGCCTGTCCCAAAATAGAGCTGCAGGACATCCCCCCCATAAAAGGCTCTGAGAATCTGGCCCCTGGGGACCCTGGGCAGCTGGGCCCCGCTAAAACTCCGCTGTGGGCCTGCCGTGCTGCCCTGCAGCGTCCTCTCAGTCAGCCACAGACATGGTAATGCCACTCGCCACACAGTGGAGCCTCCAATGGCCCGGCTGGGGAGCTCGAGCCGGAGATGAAAGCAGCATCCACCGGGGAGATGCCGGAAGGGCCCCTAGGCAAAGGGGCTGACTTGAGCCAGTGCCTGGAGGCGTGCAGGCCCTGGAGCAGCCTAGGCGGGGAGGGGGGGGGGGGGG